CCCCCCCCACCGCCAAACCTGTGAGGAAGAGAAAAAAAGGGGAGGGGTGGAGGTTATAGAGTTGCATGTATGTTGTGGGTGCATGCCGTCATTATTTATATATTCCAGCTCTACCGAATACCAAAATTAATGTTTACAAGGAAATGATAACCATAACGAACACTACATATTTATAGAAACATTGATAGGGAGGGCCTATAGAGTAAATAATGACTGCCTAGTAAATAGTGTGACTTACTAGTGAATAGGGTGCTCATTTTCTGCTTGCTGGTAGCTGCTTCAGGACAGATTGTGACGCCTTTCTCTACCCTTTCCCGCCTCATTTTCTCCACAGCCTTCCTTTTGTTCTCCTTCCTCTCCGCCCGAAGTTTCTCTCTCTGATTCTCCTCCTTCTCCTTCATCCTGGTCAGCTCCCGTCTTAATATTCCCACCCTCCTCTTCGCATCTTCGTCCCTGGCCGTTGCTTTTTCATCTTTTTGTATTCCCAAACCAGTGTCATTACTGTCGCATGCTGGACTCTTGATAGTCACCGATCTAGCAGCTGTTCTTTCTGGCGACGCTGATTCGTTGCCTGCTTCTGACAGTGTGCGTGAGTCATTCGGTGGTGTTGGTAGGCTTTGCTCCCTAGTAGGGGGAGACGGCGGTGAAGAACGTTGTTGGGGAGAAGTGTTTTGGGACCCTGTTTCCCCCATCTTACCTTGTGTCCCTGTAGGGAAAGTTTGGTCAGTTTTTTTTTTTAAAACTTGCTTAAAAATGCTCCTAACGTGTATATATGCGAAAGGCCGCTGGATATTCAAATCAATAACTTCAGGGTTATATTGTTATGCCAAATAAATTCTGCCCGACCTAGTGTTGTGAGCCTACTGGAGTCTCTGATGTAATGGTTGGGTTTCTTGCCGTTGCACGCAGAAGACCTGAGTTCGATTCACGATCGGGGAAGTAGTTTAATAAATAACTCGTATCTGTGTCTTTCTGCTGGGATAACGTACCCCTCGTAACCCCGAGTAGGCCCTGGCCGGCATTTGTGTGTGTGTATGTATGTGTGTGTGTGTGTGTGTGTGTGTGTGTGTGTGTGTGTGTGTGTG